GAGAGCGGGGGAGACAGGAGGGAGAGCGGGGGAGACAGGAGAGAGAGCGGGGGAGACAGGAGAGAGAGCGGGGGAGACAGGAGAGAGAGCGGGGGAGAGCAGCCGCCTCCTCTGCCACCCCCCTTTATTAGCCCCTTCATATTCTATGTGAAGTGATTGTTGATAGTGGGAGTGACCTGTGTACCGGTCTGTATCTGGCGTGTACCGGTCTGTATCTGGCGTGTACCGGTCTGTATCTGGCGTGTACCGGTCTTTATCTGGCGGAGCCCATTTTTCGGACCGGGAGCTCCAGGCGTGCACAATAGCGTGCTTGTGGTGACACCCCTTGCGTGTGCGTGTGTCCCCAGCTCGTGCACTATGGACCGGCGTCTTTCCCTTTATCACTCTGTTGTCTCCTCCAATCCACAACCACCAGCATTAGACACCGGGTCTTTATTCATCTCTAGGAGGGGCCCCTGTTTAAGGCGGCGGGCCCCTGACACTGCTACATACAGAGTAACGTGTCCAACCTGAGTTACCGCCAACACGTGTGTTCTGATCACATTCAGTATAAGAGTCATTGCGTGTTATCCTGAGGAGGGAAGACTGAGAATGAGGATCCCACACGGGGGGCGGCCCCAGAAAGTGCTAAAAACTGTCTTCATGCTGCGGAACTCCTCAACAGGACGCACTGTCCCTTTAAAGGAATGACTGAGGTCCGTCCTGACAGTGGGCGGAGCTCATACAGAGGAGGAGGGATCACATGATGTCGGAGGAGGGATCACATGATGATGGAGGAGGAGGGATCACATGATGGCAGAGGAGGGATCACATGATGATGGAGGAGGAGGGATCACATGATGGGGGAGAGATCACATGATGATGGAGGAGGAGGGATCACATGATGATGGAGGAGGAGGGATCACATGATGATGGAGGAGGAGGGATCACATGATGATGGGGGAGGAGGGATCACTTGATGATGGCGGAGGAATCACATGAAGGGGAGAGATCACATGATGGCGGAGGAAGGATCACATGATGGCAGAGGGGGAGGGATCACATGATGGTGGGGGAGGGATCACATTATGATGATGGAGGAGGAGGGATCACATGATGATGGAGGAGGAGGGATCACATGATGGAGGAGGAGGGATCACATGATGGAGGAGGAGGGATCACATGATGGAGGAGGAGAGATCACATGATGGTGGGGGAGGGATCACATGATGGCGGGGGAGGAGCCTCATACGGTGATGTTCTCCTCATAGATGGACAGCAGCAGGAGGATGGTCCAGCCCACGAGGAGCCCCAGATTGTGGAGGAAGAAGATCAGCCACGGCCGGCGGTCCTTCACATTCATCATGGCCGGCAGCTGGAAGAGAAGAGGCGGAGTCAGCCGGGGACAGACATGTGACAGGAAGTACAGGAAATACAGGAAGCTCGCCCTTACCATGTCCACCAAGGCCACGTACAGGAAGAGACCCGTGGCCACCGTGAATATCCACCGCTGGATGGCTTCATCGGCCGCTATGGACAGAGCGATGTACAAACCGATGAAGGCCGTCAGAGCGCTGCCGAAATTCAGGATAAGAGCCCAACGCACCCGCAGACCGGCGTGCAGCAGAGCCGCGAAGTCACCTGCCGAGACAAAGTGTACATGGGGTCACCCTGCAGTGGGAGGAGCATACCCCTATCCGTCACTCTGCAGTGGGAGAAGCAGAGCTCCATCAGTCACTCTGCAGTGGGAGGGGCATACCTCCATCAGTCACACTGCAGTGGGAGGGGCATACCCCTATCCGTCACCCTGCAGTGGGAGGGGCATACCTCCATCAGTCACTCTGCAGTGGGAGGGGCAGAACTCCATCAGTCAACCTGCAGTGGGAGGGGCAGAACTCCATCAGTCACCCTGCAGTGGGAGGGGCAGAACTCCATCAGTCACCCTGCAGTGGGAGGGGCAGAACTCCATCAGTCACTGCAGTGGGAGGGGCATGTCCTACCCTGCAGTGGGAGGGGCAGACATTCATCAGTCACTCTGCAGTGGGAGGGGCAGACATTCATCAGTCACCCTGCAGTGGGAGGGGCAGACCTCCATCAGTCACCCTGCAGTGGGAGGGGCAGAAACTCCATCAGTCACCCTGCAGTGGGAGGAGCATACCCCTATCCGTCACTCTGCAGTGGGAGAAGCAGAGCTCCATCAGTCACACTGCAGTGGGAGGGGCATACCTCCATCAGTCACTCTGCAGTGGGAGGGGCAAACTCTTATCCGTCACCCTGCAGTGGGAGGGATAAACTCCTATCAGTCACCCTGCAGTGGGAGGGGCAGACCTCCATCAGTCCCCCTGCAGTGGGAGGGGCAAAACCTCCATCAGTCACTCTGCAGTGGGAGGGGCATACCTCCATCAGTCACTCTGCAGTGGGAGGGGCAAACTCTTATCCGTCACCCTGCAGTGGGAGGGATAAACTCCTATCAGTCACCCTGCAGTGGGAGGGGCAGACCTCCATCAGTCCCCCTGCAGTGGGAGGGGCAGAAACTCCATCAGTCACCCTGCAGTGGGAGGAGCATACCCCTATCCGTCACTCTGCAGTGGGAGAAGCAGAGCTCCATCAGTCACTCTGCAGTGGGAGGGGCATACCTCCATCAGTCACTCTGCAGTGGGAGGCGCATACCTCCGTCAGTCACCCTGCAGTGGGAGGGGCATACCTCCATCAGTCACTCTGCAGTGGGAGGGGCATACCTCCGTCAGTCACCCTGCAGTGGGAGGGGCATACAGGACTCACCCAGCTCGTGCGGCAGCTCATGACATAACACGGCCAGCGACGTGGCCAATCCCACTTTCCAGGACGTGGAGAACGCGGCTCCCATAGCGAGACCGTCCGCGAAGTTATGAATGGCGTCCCCGATAGTGATCATGTACGGGATCATCCGCAGCTCTGCGACCAACAAGAGAGACGTGAGCGCCGGGGTCACCTCCCAACACCAGCATCTACATTAGAGTGTCAGCTCCTCTGTACAGAGACTGATGTGA